GGAACGTCCACGAGCGTCGAGTGCAGCATCGACTTCTACCAAGCATCGATGAGAACGCTTTGAGGCCAAGAATGCGCACCGGGTGGGGCACGAAGAGAAGACGATACGTCGTCAAGCAGAGAAAGCCTCGTTGCAGCATCCGCTGCGGCGAGACGTACACGACCGGCGCCTTGGCCTGGATCATCTCGCCGTAGTACATGTCGTTGGCGTCGAGGGCAAGGCTCGATGGAGGGATCACCTGCGCTCATGCATGGAACGTGGCGCATACGTGGTGAGCATGTCTACCTCGTGGGCGGCTTCATGCGTCTCGACCGACGTCCACGAGTCTTCCTCGAGGCTCACGGAGCGGTGGTGGTCCATGGCGCGACCAGCGACTTGACCGAATATCTTCTGTTTCGGCTGTAGGCCAATTTCCCTTTTTGGCCAATTATAGGCCGTACGAACATGGGTATTTTAGCCAATGGCATCCTACAAGGGGCATCAACCTCAACACATAAATAGTGTACGATACATCGATTTACATGGAGGTCCGTTGCCCCATTGACCCTTTAGAGAGGTTTACATCGCTATAGCCATGGTAACTGGTATGTTTTGAGCTCACTTCGAGGCTCGGATTCCGTACACATCGGCTCGATACTATCGTACTCGGATACCTCCATGTCCAACACTATATTGTTACCGAAATTCCACAAAGATCGGCCTGACGACGAACCGGCGCGTAAAGATCGCCAACCAACACGGTTCACTGGCACTGGAGTAGAGCTTGCTGTTGTGGCGACCAAAGGCGTGCCAACGTATGATCCGCACAAGCGTGCTGCCACTTCGGTAGGAATCAACGCACCGTTTAAAAGCCATGTTCACAACGCCATAGCCGCCATACCCGCTAGCTCCATGTCCGACACTACACCATCAGAAATGGCTCGAGTGGGCTTGTGCTCAATTGTCGTTCTGCCTTTCTGTGTTTCTATCTTTCTGCTTGCTCGGCCGTTTGCGGAATCAAGAAAACCTTGTTCACTTTTTGGGAAACGACGCTTCTGCAATTGAGTTGTTCGTGATGGCACTGCATGGTGCTCTTGGTGTCCCGATGCAACTAGCCACGGCACTAGGAAAACATCATAGAGCCAGCCCGCCACTTGCATGTTTAGGGTTCCCATCGCTCTTCCTCACAACGCTGATTTTGAATGCGTCCCAACTCGCATGAAGAAGACCTGCACGAGTAGCATGACTCCTCGTCCGCAGCACGTGGCAGCTTTACGCGGAAGGCGTTGCAAATCAGACAAGAAAACGACAGAAAGGGCACTTGTGTAAAGGTGCGAAGTTAGGACCCAAACCAGACCGACGACACGGTATTATGGCGCGACTACACCTGGGTCCATCGTGGCTAATTCGCGTGTAGCTTGCTGATTCTGTGGCGGCGCGTAATGCCCAACGAGAGACGTGGACCAGCTGGCGTCAGATCAGATTCACCACTGCCGCAAAGGGCAGCGCGTACTCAGAATTCTCATCTCTGAGAACGGGACGAATGGACCAGACAGGCTCCGACGTGTAACTCACTTGCATCGTGTTTGATATGGGTACACGTGTCGAGCTTCCAGAGGACTGTGCCGGCCAGCCCTGTCGGTAGGCGGCTTGGCGGAAGCGCTACTAGTGCGTGACATATCGTGCTCGATAAAGACGATATGACTAGAGCTGCAGACTGAATGAATATTGCGTCACGTTACTATACACTGCGAGGAGTTGTCCAAGGAGACAATGTGGTTGGAAATGGCTTTTTAGACCGGCGAATAAGTTAGCGTCCGCGCTTGCGGCTATTCGTGCACGGGCGACGTCCCGGCCTTGTCTTTTGCAATGCACTGCGTTAGTGGCGGCAGGCTCGTGGGCACTGGCAGCTTTGAGGGAAAGAGCGAAGCGCCGTACGGCCGTGACTCGGCATACATGGGCGGCGGCGGTGGGTACATCGCTGGCGGCATGTACGACGACGCTCGGTCGTGGTACATCATGGTTGGCGGCGCGTAGTTGCTGGTACTGGCGCCGTATGCAGCTCTGGGACCGCCATAGTCGGGATACGGCGACGACGTGAGCACCTCTTCCGAGATGATGTTGACCAGCTTTTGAAGCACGCGCGACCGGAACGCTTCGCGGGCCTCGCCTTTGAGATACGAGGGTGTTCGTACTGTAATGTCATCGTCGAGGAGACCGGCAGTGTCGGGCTTGGACGGGTACAGCGGCGACGGCGGGTACGGCAGCGTGGGCAGCGACGAGTGCGCGTACGGGTAGTCGTGCGACGACGGTGACGGGAAGCTGGCCGCGCTCGGCGACGACGTGTAGTAGACCGACGACGACGTCGACGACTGGGTGCGGTTGTTGCGGTTCTTCCCGTCGAGCTTGCGCTGGTTCTGGTTTTGGCGCAGGCGATGCATGTCACAGAGGTTGTGCGGCTGGCCATTCGTCTTGAGCGCGCGCTCGTTCTCGCACTTGCCCGTCTTGTAGAGGCACTTGCCGCGGCTGCCTTCGCCTGCCATGAGGAGCCAAACTTTCTGAAAATGACACCATCGCTTCCGTCGCATCTGTCCGGATACACCCGGTTGCCAGCGAATCTGATCCTGGGTAATTGGACCCACCCCCTCCATCGCGATTTCAGGGACCTTTAGAGGGATCCTTGCACGCGTGCAAATGCTTCCTGGGTCGTACAAAAGACAAGAAGACTGGTCGTACGATATATCGATGCAAACGAGCGTGAATTGCGTATAACTCTTGGCTGCAGCGGACGTACTTGCTGCGCAATGGTAGAGGGGGAGGGTCCAAAATGATGGCTGTTCGCGGCCGTCGTCCCAATTGGTGGTGGGTGCAACAATCCAGCTTTATCCGTGTGTGCATGCTCATTAGCATTGCAATGAGGGAAAAACCGTGCCAACGTCAGGTAAATTCCGTTATTGCAGCACAAGAGAGTATATTTCGAAAGAGATACCCTGTGTCTGATGCCCATCTGATGCGGAGTTCCGTGGCCCGTGTCTGATCCCGCTCGGTTCTTATCCCCGGCTTCATGAATGCTTTTTTGGTGACCTCACTACAAGATGCAGTTGATTCTCGCTCTGGCCGCGGGGCATTTTGAATTAATGCACCGGACGGGATTCTTGCCACTTCTGACGCCAATATTCCGAGTGCGCGGCACGCCAGACTGAGATCTGGCACTTCGCGACGCGGCTTCAACGAGTCGCGTCGTGAAGGCAGACATGTGGCACACACAGTACTTATATCGCTCTCGCCTGTCTGTAGCATCACGATCACGTCTATTGAGCTTGCTTGCTGTCAACGCAACGCGTCTGCAGAGCGTCGCTTTTCGGCCTGTCTGCCGCATCGCGGAGCTGGCTGCGTCCGAGCGAAAACTCGTGGCACAGGGGTCGATGCGACGGACGTTGAAGATGGAGGATCGCTGTCATGGATGGGTACGACGAAATATTCGCTCCCATGCAATATGACACACGACTCCAACGCCGGCCCATCCCCACAAGCTTCTTCGTTGCCTTCACCCGGCGATGGGATGTACGAAGGGAATCTTTACGCGTCTGATACTTCTCTTCCTATACAGAGTCTTTCAGGTCGTGCTTGCACGGCACGTAGACGTCGACGGCGGAGCAATCGGCTCGAGTTTACAGACTCAGATACTCGAACGGCAATTTGACTCATGGTATCTGATCGGAGCTACTCGACTCCGCGACAACACCTCTCGCAGCTGCTCTGGATTCAAACACATATATATTGGTGCCCGATGCACTCGCACCTCGTAAACGTGCGCGACCATGAGACGTAGTACGTGGCTGCATTGTTCGTTCTTGAGTCATGCACCAACTCTCTTGGCGCGCCTTCGTTCCCTATACCTGCACCATCACAGTAGCAGTCAACACTCTCCGGAATGAGTCTCCCACGTCGTGTAGCGCGAGTCTCTAACGCCGTAGGGTCTGAGCAGTCGCCTGTCGGCTGCTCCTACTGCAGCTTCTACAACTAGGCTTGCATATGACATGCTTCACACGAGGTTTCTCTTCGATCGATGACATGGATGCGCCAAGCCCCGGGAACACGCTTCACGATACTTCGATGGTTTGCAAATGAGCCGCAGACATACTACGGAAGGCGGCCTAAAAAGCGCCCATTCAACCGACGAAAAACAAATGCCGTCGTTTTCACAAACTTCAACAAGGTCGGTCAGTCTCATTGGCTTCATCGGCTGGCCATTTTGAAGCTCGTTGTATTGGTTGTTCGCGAGCGAGGTAGGACTGTGTTGTCGCGCTATTAGTTGCTTCATATGGCACAAAGTTCACGGGCACCAGTGACTTGAAGGTCGGCGATGTGCTTGCAGAAAGTCACCAACGTCGACAGTATGAGCGTTTCGCGCGCGCACATCGATGTGCAAAGTACAATCCTCGTTTCGTGCTGACGCAAAACTCACGGGTCCATTGCCGATCGAGCACCTCAGCTCGTTATTCCGCTGTTTCACGCTTCCATAGACACGGCCGGCGATATTGGTTTGACCGCCGCTGCTTTCTCTTGCCATTTATTCACTTTGGTCCTCTGTGCCGCCTTGCCTTTGAACTGGTGGCTGTAATCGATCGCTGCTTTCACTACCGACCCTCAACGATGTGCTAATAGAGATGAGAGCCAAGACAGAACGCGCCAGCATTTCCAGTACAGTCGAGCACTTCCTAGCGCAATGTACGGACGACTGTGTTGGTTGCAGCCAGATTTTGTTACTGCAGGGACGCGCTGCGGTGTCTATGCCCATAGACCGAGAAGCCTCGCTCACGAAGCGTCGCCTTTCCCACTTCGTGCTCGAATCTGTTCACGGACGACCGCTCTGCGTGCAGCTTATGCACCACCCACATACGCACCCTTTGCTGGGCTCGCTCGCTTGCCACGTACGCCGTGGGCAGGCCCACGCTCCTTTATCCGGACCCTCCGGATACAACGACTGTTACGAATTGCTCCAAGTGCATAATCGAAAAAGGCAGCATGTCTGGAGCGGACGGAGGAGCGTCGTTGAAGCGCCTGCAGTCGGTCCTGAGCCACGTCCGCGAGACGCCGGCGCCGACGGCCAGCGCCAAGACCCGCTGGGATGGCTGGGGCTACGAAGACACCAACATCTTTCTCAACCCGCAAGGCGTCGTCGAGTTTGCCGGGACGCGGTACGCTCGCCACCATGCGCGACCAAAACATCAAGCGTGCGTAGGTACGAAGAAGTGTTTCCCGCAGAGCGCGTCTTGCCTGGCGTGCGCGCGTGGGCCGAATCCAAGGTCGGCTTGGACGTCAACCGCCGCATTACGCTCAACGCCACGCCGCCCAAGATCAAGGCCGGCAGCGAAGTCATGCACGAAGGCTTCTTGGCCGAGATGGCGTCGCTTGCGCTGCCCGTCGACCTCGACCCGGTCACGCGTGTGCGCCACTCGCACGGCCAGACCTGCGGCGTACGCGTCCCTATCCCAAGGCGCGCGTGTTGATGCTGTGCGTAGGAAATCTTTCGCATCCGAACGTGCACCGAGTTTGATCGCGTGCCGGACGCGGTCATTAGCCCGCTGACGCACGAGCAGGTGCAGGCGGTCGTCACCGCGGCCGTCAAGCACAACGTGGTCATCATCCCGTACGGCGGTGGCACCAAGTACGTTCGACTGGCGCTTTGACGTGCTCACAAGGCCGGTAGCGTCTCGAACGCGCTCACGTGCAGCGAGCACGAGCGCTGTATGATCGTATCGCTCGACATGCGCAAGATGACGGCCATCTTGAGCGTCGACAAGGAAAACATGACAGCGCTCGTCGAGGCGGGTATTTCGGGCCTCGATCTGCACAACAAGCTCAAGAACAAGGGCGTCACGCTCGGGCACGAGCCCGATTCGTGGGAGTTTTCGACCGTCGGCGGCTGGGTACGGCCACAATAATGCGATATCTGCTGACCGCACGCAGGTCGCGACGCGGGCGTCGGGCATGAAGAAGAACACGTACGGCAACATTGAAGACATGCTCATCAACCTCACCATGGTGAGACAACCACTCACGAACTCTATCTCAACACGTGGACTAGGTGACGCCGCAAGGCACGCTGACCAAGTCGTGCAACGTGCCCCGGGTTTCGATGGGTCCCGACATGATGCAAATGGCCCTCGGTCCCGCTATATCTGCATGTTTGATACATATACTTACGTCCGGTACTAGGCTCGGAGGGCCTCTTTGGCGTTGTGACCCGGGTCATGTTTCGTGTGCGCCCGCTGCCCGAAGTGCAGCTGTACGACTCGATCCTGTTTCCTACGTTGGGCGACGGCATTGCTGCGCTCCACGACATTACGCGCGAAGGCTGCATCCCTGCGTCGCTGCGCCTTCTCGACAACACCCAAGTACGTCCATACGACGATTGGCCTCTGCCCCTCTCACGCTGCATTGGTCTAGTTTCAACTGGGCCAAGCGCTCAAGCCGGCCTCGAGCCACCCCTTGACAGCGCACCTGATTTCGCTCGCAACCAAGGCGTATGTGACCAAGGTGCGTCATCTATTCCGACTTGGGATCTCACGTGCTGGCATGACAGATCAAGGGCTTCGACGTCAACTCGATGTGTGCGGCGACCATCTTGTTTGAGGGCACAAAAGAGCAGACGGAGCGGTACCAGCGCCAGATCCACGCCATTGCGGCCAAGCACGGGGGTATGATTGGTGGCGCCGAGAACGGCAAGCGCGGGTACTTCCTTACTTATGTCATTGGTACGTTGGGCTCGCAACGAATCTCTGGGCGACTCCTTTTGTATGTAGCGTACATTCGCGACTTTGTGATGGACTTTTACTTTTTGACCGACTCGTTCGAGACGGCGGTGCCGTGGACAAACGTCAAGCAGCTCATCGCCGACATCAATAACGTACGACGCGTCATTGCCTCCGTCACTTGACATGTTGAAACTAGGAAATTGGTCTTGTCTGCGCTGGCCACGGCGTGCCCAACAAGCACGTCGTCATGTGCCGCATCTCGCAGGTCTACGAGACGGGCGTCTGCCTCTATGTCTACTACGGCGTCAACTTTTTCGGCGTCAAGGAACCGCTCAAGCTCTTCCACACAATCGAGCAGTCGTGCGTCGACGTACGGCCGCTTGTCTTGACTCTATGATGTATTCATTGTGAGCATAGGTCATGATGCGGAACGGCGCGGCGCTGAGCCACCACCATGGCATTGGCAAGCACCGCAAGCAGTGGCTCCCGCAGGTGCTTTCGGCGCCGGCGCTGAGTGCGATCCACGGTCTCAAGGCCGCCGTGGACCCGACCAATGTCTTTGCGACCAACAACATTATCACGACGACGCTGCCGCCGACACGCGAGTAGAGACACGCAAGAATCATGGTAGATTGGATGCTTTTCTTTGAAATGTATACCCTCCCTTGTGCCCATGGCGGACATTCGGCTTTGTACATGGCCTCGGCTATGTGAGCCAGCCGTCGTTGGTCGATGAGATCTGCAGCGACGGTGTGGGAACCGTCGTCGTCGACGTTTTCTCGCCTCGTAGCGACGTCATGCAGAGCGCACAGGCGGTCGCAGCGGCCTTGTTCCGGAACGCGCAGACGGGACACTGCAGCACGACTTCAAACTCGCTCGATGGCGCGGCCGACGTGTTTTTTGCAGCGCACACCTCGCAGCGGTCGAGCGTCGGGCTCTGGCTGTGAAAGCATATGGGGCAATTCCAATTGCCAGCCTTGGGTGGCGGCGCGCGGCGCGGCGTCGGTGCCTACCTCAACGTTGCTCTTGTATAGCAGGCATAGTGTCTACCACGGGGGCCGCATGCTTCTTGAAGGCGAAAATCGAGTTGTACATCTGGTTGAAATGCGCCTTCTCGTCTTCCGTGGCAGCCTCCTTGAGCCACGTCTCCACCGTCCGCGCGGTGAGGACGGGCGCGTCTTCGCGGCACAGCGATGGCTGCGTCGGGTTGCGCTCAATGAGTCGCGACATCGGCGGTCTATCACGACATCCTCGCGGTCCAGGTTCCAACGTTGAGACGTTTGACGCACCGTGTGTCACGAAAGACAACTTGACCAAACTCGATATAGTCGATGCGGTCCGAGAACGTGGCTGCAAATCGTGCACTGACTTGCGCCATGACATCGGGACCGACTGGCACGTTGAGCTGACGCAAGGCTGCGAAGAACCCGTCGATGGTCACGAAGCCCGTGCGCTGGCCGTCGTACTGCTGACAGAGCGTCATGAAACGTGTCTTGTCGACATGTGCTTGCAGCACAAAGAACGAGCGCAAGTCGTCTTCGATCTGCTGCAGGGACCGCGGACTCGGCGGTAGCGCTCGCGGCGTCACCATCATGCCATGGGAAGCGGCGACGGGAACAAAGGATCGAGGCGGTACATGGTCGACGACCGGCGGTGCGACTGGCGGTGCGTACGTCTCGAGCAGCGTTGCGAATGCTCGATACGGACACTGCGCTTTGGACCGAAGCGCGTGTTGAAGCGTTTGGAGCTCTGCGGCGGTCAGAGGGCACTCGATGAGCCGAAGCACGGTGCTGAACTCGGTCCACTCGATGTGACCTCGATGGTGCGAATCGCATTTCTCGAGGAGCGACAGCCCATTGATGTTGCGCTGGGCAGCACTCAAGAAGCTTTGATAGAGACGCCCCATAAGACTGGGCAGCGATGAAGTCGACGACACCGATGTGCTGGAGCGCGACGTTTTGAGTGGCGAGGACCCGCCGTAGCGGTCAAGCGCTGCCTCCATAGCACGAACGAACGCAGTTGCGTCGACGCGGTGATGCTTTGTCTTGCACGCCGCTGCGATCGCGTCCAGATCTGACTTTTTCCACGGCAGCTTGAGACTTAGGAGAAACTGCGCAAGGGCTTTGGGGCGCCACGGAAGGCGCGTGTTGGCCTCCGCTAGCTTGGAGTCGCACTTGTGGCATTTAGACGACGACCACCCCGCGGTGAGAAGGACACGGTCCAAGATGGCGTCCATCGACACGATCTTCCCCGGCGACGACCGGCGGTGCGGACTTCCGCTGCGCCCACTCGCACAACTGCTGCTATCGTCGCTTTGACTCGCCTGGGATGAAGCGTCGCTAAGCGACAACTCGTCGTCGTCGTCATCATCGCGTCGTACAGCGGCGACGTTGGCTTTGTCCAGCGCAAGAAGCTGGGCGGTCGCCAGGTCGCGCAAGAAGAGCGATGTCTTGACAACGCCCGTCTCTTTGACGACGTAGTAGTCACGGATGACGTCCCCGTCGATGCCAGCGACGGCCGCGTGGCGGTCCTGACGCAACACCGTGTCTAGAAACTTGTCTAGAATCTGGGTAAATTTGGATGCCGTGACGCCGTCCCCAGACTTGTACTTGACAAAGTACTTAGCAAAGACAAATGGCCGCGGAAGCAGTTGGTCGAAGATCGCCACGCGCACGAGCTGCTTGCCCAGGCGCGTAAATGTCCTAGAAGCCAGTGCCATGAGATGCCAGTTCTCTTGATATCGCCGACCCTTGGCTTTGGAGCGCTTGCATTTGGTCTTTGGACGGCGACGCAGGTGGTTTTCCAGAGGAGGCTTTGACCGCTGGACTTGGTGGTTTGCTCGGCGAGCCATTTCCGCCACTTGTCGGTGCGGGGGGTGTTGCTTGGGGCGGCGGCGCTTTGTTCGGGTCGACCTTTGTCTGCAGGATCTTGTCGGCGTTGGTCGCAAAGTGAAAGAACTCGAGGTAGTCGATTTCGTTGTCTTGGTTCGAGTCGAAGAAATGCAGAATGGACGACTTTTCCGCGGCAGTGAGCCCTTTGGAGAGGCCCATTTCGTCAAGCACGAGCAGGAATTCGTCGGTGGAGATGGACCCGTCTTGATTCACATCGTACTCTAGCACAATTGTATAGCACATTTGCAGCCATGGCAAATGTTGCACCGAGAAAGAGGCGGCGGAAGCGGTCGGCGTCTTTCTCGTTTGCGACAGTGTCCAAAATGCTTTGCTGCATCTGCGCAATTACAGCGTCGACCTTGCCCCGGCTTTCGCCCGACTCAAAGACCTTGGGCCCACGCACGACAAAGTCGAGAAAGACGTTCGAGGCCCACTGCTGCGTCGTCGGTGCCACAAAGTACCGGTGCAGCGCTGAAACCTCCTACGAATCCAAGTTGCGAGGTGTTTCCTATCGCATTTTGCACCCACGTCGGGGGAGAACGGGTGTCGGACACCCGCGGTCCAGAGAAGTTCCTTGAAGTCGCTTGCGCTGAGCTTGTTCTTGTAGTGCTCGCAAGCACTTCTAAAGTCAAAGCGCGCGCCGGCTTTGTCTTCGGCCTTTTGAATCTCGGCGTGGAGCTCGAGCGCGAGGGCAGGGTTGACGGTGGGTGCTTCGCCAGACGTAGTAGCCGTCGGCAGCATGCACGCAAGAAACACTTGGCAAAATGTATCGTACGGGATCGCGTCTTCCGACTGCGCGTACTGCACCAGCGCATCGATCAAGTGCGGTCGGTCCTGCACTCCACCGCTCAAACAAGTGAAACGATTGATATATCGATACCTTTTTGGACTTGCGCGGCAGCTGCAGGTCCAGCGCGTCAAACAGCTGCCCAAACTTGGTTGCTGACAGCATGCCCGTGTTGGCCTTGTCGGCAATCAAGCACATGCGTTTGAAGACTGACGCAAACGTCTCGGCACCGGCCGCCGGCAGCGATGTCGCAAAGGCTTCCTTCATGCACGTGACGAGCTTTGGGTCGTTCCAATGCGACAGCAAGTGGAGGCTCTCGTCGCTGGTCGTCGCAAATCGGCAGAATTCGTCGAAGCTGACACCGCCATGCTCGTCGAGCTCGAACCGCCGCAACAAGCTCTTGATTTCCTATCCAAACACCATACTATACATCATTGAAAGGCAAAGAACAAACGTTGGAGCGGAGGAAGCTCCCCAAATCCATATCGAGAAGCGTCGCTTCGAGGGAGGGCATGCTGATTGAGCCCGTCTTGTTCTTGTCAAAGAGGTCAAACGGTACGTGGTAGTCGAACTTTCCGTCCAGCGTCTTGGCGCAGCGGCGGAGTTCCCCGAGCAGCATGTAGCAGCCTTTTGCGAAGCCGGGGCTGTCATATGGCGTGATGAAGCCGTGCTTCATGTTGCGGCGCTCGGCCACGTCCCGCAATGCGGCCAGAAAGCGGTCAATGACAACGCGCCCGTCACCACCGCAATCCGCACCCGTGTGCTGGACCAGATAGACAAAATCCTACAGTCAGCCGACGTCGGGATGTGTCGTTTACTTGCAGTAAGCGTACTTTAATGTCGATCGACGGAATGCTTGCTTCGGCTGCAAGCTCTGAGAGATGGTCGTGCAGCGCGGGCAGCGATACTGACCCTGTCCCGAGGCTGTTGAGGCGGTTGTAGACTGGGTCAATGTCTGTTGTCGGGTGCGGTCCCACGAGCTTCTTGCCCGCTAGCAGCAGCGACGAGCTGCCTCGAATGACCACGAGGCCGTGCTGCGACATATAAGCTCTTACATTTTCTTTGGGTTGTGGTTCACAAAGGCGTGGTACGCAGCCTGCATGATCTGGCCTGGCACAGCCCCCGGGGGTGGGTTGGGTGAGATGACAATGCAGAGCTGGCGGAGCTCGAGCGGGCTGAGCCGCACCTTGTGTTGGCGTAAAATCTAAAGGGTGATATGGGCTATGAAATTCTTGAGAATTTTTTTGTACCTTGTCGATCATGGAGACTCTGAGGATGTTGTCATGCGACTTAATGCGCTTCCACGACGCACTTGAGTCGATGTTGCCATCTTTTACGAGCTTGGAGTTTTGGTGCTCGATCGCCCAGCCTACACAGACGCTGACAGCGTCCGCCACCAAACCTTCGGTACCTTGAAGAACGCTTGCAGCTTGAGCGATTCGTGCGGCCTGCCGCGCTTGGATGTCGCAGACGCCAGTGACAAACTTCAAAAAGTCTGCATAGTCGACAACGCCGTCCTTGTTGACGTCAAAGCGTGCCATGATCTTGGCCAGTTCCTAGCGCAGTGTATCGCACTTGGCTTCAACGATAAATGCTTCTACTTCCGGCGCGACGAGAATTTGCTGGGCGCTCAAGAGGCGCAAAAAGTCCCCACGTGCCCACCGACCGTCTCCAATCGCGTTGTGCGCTGTAAAGACGACCCGGTAGTTGGACGACGCACTCGTGAGCGATCGCTGCAGCCGCTCCGCGATCGCGTCCCTAACCCTATACATTGCCACTGACTTGCCCGATCAGGTCCATACACATCCGTGTCGGTCCAGAGCACAAACAGCAGCAGAGTCTCGTAGTCGATTTTCTTTTTGCCTTCAATGTCGATGCGTTTCCAGACCTCGTGGAACCGCTGCGGCATGATGAGTACTAATACATGGCAACAACAACAGCGCACCTTGGGGTCGAGGCGACAGCCAAGACCGATAAGACCTGCTTTCACCTTGGCGATCGTCAAGTACTTGCGGTTCTTGACGTCAAACGCTTGGAAGAGTTTGAGGAAATTCAACACGCCGTCGGCGTCGGTGGGACAGCGCCGGCGCACAGTGATGCGAATCTGGTGCTCGAGGGCGTCGATCTCTTCGATGGGAATCGCACTCGTCGCCGTCGTCGGCGACAGCACCGGCGCGTGCACAACGACATCGGACACGGGGTACACGGCGCTACCCACATGCATTCTAATGATTCGTTTTTCGAAGGGCGTGTACCGGGTCCACAAAAAGACACCGCGCTTCGTGATCTTTTCATCGAGCGAGCCTTCGATGCGCTTGAAGCCGCGGCATGGCGGCATCCATAGCGTCGCCGATTGGTCGTCCACGAGGTGCCCTACTCGGACCCAACGTTTTGCACAATACGTTATCGATGAACGCACCTCCCGTGACGCACAAGTCGACCAGCGCCGGTGTTTGGTGCGCGCCGGTGGGCTTACACGGCGCAAACTTGAGGTACATGAACTTGCGATAGAAAGGCTTGGCGCCGTTGAAGCAGACGTAGCCTCGGCCCATGAGGTCCTTGTCCTGGTTCGACGCCGAATACGCAATCGCCTCAATCGGGACTTTGGTCGGGTCGCGCTTGGTCCAAAAGTACAAATGGCCGTTCGAGTGCGACGTCCACACGTTGCGCGGGTAAACCTCGTAGCCTTCGCGCTTGAACTCGGCCGCCTCTTCGTCCGACGTCGAGTACTAAGCCACACTATTTGCATCATGTGTGACGAGACGCGGCGTACCCGAAGGTCCGATATCGCAGGCAGCTCTTCAAACGTCGGCGAGTGAAAGCGGTCCGTGTCCTTGTAGAACATTTCAAAGTCCGTGGGCTTGACGACGCCGTCGTTGTCATAGTCCAAGAGATGCAAAAGCACGTCGATTTCCTACTCACCTACTGTTCAGTCAGCGTCTCGGCGACGTTAGCGTACCCCCGTCGTGAGCACAATGTCAAACTCGCGCCCGATCGCATTCCCAAACAGATTTGGCGCCAAGCAGCTGTCGTTGTGGATATCGGTCATGCGGCGATACATCTCGAGGAGTTCGTTGTCCGAGAGCTTGAGCTTCCGCAGCGCGTGCCAGTACTTGCAGAGAAGCACAAGCCTACTTGCCGTCATACCACAGACTCTATCGTGCAAGACCTACAGTTGCACGCGGTTCAAAAGACAGAATTCGAGAAAGTCCAAGAGCGACACTTTGGTGCGGCTTGCGCTGTTGAGAATGCGCTGAAAGAGAATTGACGTGTCTTCCTGCGCTACGAGACACTCGAACGCTGGGTCGCTCGCCATGAGCTTCCGGAACTGGTGCTCCTCGAGGTAGTAGTCAGCCGCGGTCCGCGGCGGCGGCTTGGGTGCCAAGAGGGAGCGCATCGACTTGGCCGGTTTGGCGGACGACGGCAGCTCGTCCATCGAGAAGGTCTTGAAGAGGTCCTTGAGGTAGTAATAGATTCCATTTTCACCCTTGATTGACGATGCTTTCTCGCGAAAGATCTGGCGAGCGCGGTGCCCGAGCACGTCGTCTGCGAACTTGCAGAGCATGTAGGCGCCAATCTCCTTTCCATCGAGCTTGAGGTTCGCGAGCAACGGGTGCGTCTCGACATCCAACGCCGGCGTTGACGACTGCACGAGCTTGGGCTTCTCTGGTGGCTTCTCGGCTGGCTTCTCGCTGGCGCCCGTCGGCTTGGTCGGCGACGTCGCCATCGCTCAAGGGACACAAAACCAACTGCCTCAATTTCCCACGCGATCGACATATGTGAAAAACGCACGTGAGAATGGTTTATATACACTATAGTATTGCATCGAGAGGTGGGAAACGGTGCATCACATCGGCCCTCACACGGCGGTTTCATGACCGCGGACGACGAGGACACGACCGCGGAGCGGCTCAAGCGGCCGATCACGGATGCGCACCCGACGCTCTACATAGAGACAAGGAAGGCGCATGCTGCGGCCTCCGTGGACCTATACTGTCTGCTCTTCAACGCGCAGGTAGCGCTTCGAGTCGACTTTTGCACGACATACCCTGTACCATGCAGGGGGAGCTCATTGACCACGTGCCTATCAATGGGTCGCTGCGAGACGGCTCGATCGTGCAAGCGCCCCGCAATCAGCACGGCTACCACCAAAAGATGGTGATATCACTGGCCAAGGTGCACCTTGGCGTGGATGTGATTGGTGCCCGACCGTTCCATCGCCAACGACTCATTCGAAGAACTAGGCATCATCCTTTCCCACAGCCACGACGTCGTCTTCGATCCACACAAGGTACTGGACGATTGCGTCGTCCACTGCTCGCTACTGTCGTCCGACACGAGCGACGCATTCGTCGACTTTTCAGCGACGGGCAGTGACGTCGTCTGCGTCGGCACCCATTCGGCCTCGACCTCGTCGCGGATTCTCGTGCAAAATGCCTTTGTCGTGGCCAAGATCTACAGAGACAACCGCCAGCGCCACACGTGGCTCTTGGACCCGATCAACGAAGCGGTTCAGTGCAGCAGCCACTGCCTCGTGGGTCTCACGCGCGCCCTACAGCTCTTCCTCCTCGACATCATTCCCGACATCGATATTCCCAACGTCACGTCGCTCAAGACGATTCGAGGCATCTGCTCGACGCTGACGAGCACCGAGTTTTTGGAGCTCGAGGCGCTCTTTCCCAAGAACGGCTCGGGCGTGCCAAAAGCCGCCTTTGCAGAGTGCTTGGCGCTGGGCATTATCAAGTCCCGCCCCGAGCTCCGCGCCGAGAAGCGGGCAATAGCACTCTTGCGTCTGCTCTGCGAAATGTTTGATCAAATCGGTGCACATTGGAGAGACTTCATTATCCCTTGGTTGACCCTACACCTAGATATCAACGGGGACGAGCAAGTGGACTGGGAAGAGTTCACGACGTTTTGCATTGCGCTTGGCATGCTCTCGACAAAACAGTCGTACGACACGTCCGATGTCTCGGGCGTTGAATACGTCTACAAGCAGCTTCGCACGGCCCACGCGACCCGGTAGCTTCTTGCGCTTTGGCGTCGTTTTGTATAAACGTTTGCCAGACCATTTCCGTACCATATAACCAAGATGCGCGCTTTTGAGCATGTGCGCAAGGTTGCGATCCTCGAGCAAGAAAGCCCTCTCGTCGCCGTATAGGACATTGCACACCTCGTGCTGGCTCATTTGCGACTAGATTTTCGATATGGACGGCACGTTCCTGCACGACATGGCCAACGTCATGAAGACGAGTGTCATGAAGGACGGGCTATACATTCTCGACATTGAGCACATCCCGACGCGCAACTGCTACGTCATCTCGAGCTCGGACCGGATCTTGACGCTCTGGAACATCGTCAACGCCGTGAAAGGACAGTACGTCCAAAGCGGTCGGTTCACCAACCACCACATGGTGCGCACGATCAAGTGGTGCGCGACGCTCAAGCTCTGCATGACGTCGAGCTCCAAACACACTGTGCTCTGGAACTTTGACGCGGGTACGCACCGGCCTCGCCGACAGATTGACACACCGATACGTTAGGCAAGATTGAGCACCGGCTACACGGCCACAGCGACCTCATCACTGACATTGTCGAAGTCCCCGGAGCACCTCTGTTTCTTACAGCGTCGTACGACCATACGGTGGCGCTCTGGGAGATGGACCGTATGCGACTCGTTTTCGCGTTCGAAGGGCACACGCAGGTTCTTCGCCCTACAAACAATTGATGACAGGAACCCGCGTCTAGGGCGTGCTGCACGTGGACTGCATTGGGAACGTCCTCGTCTCGTGCGGCTTTGAGCACCACGCGCGCGTGTGGAGCCTCGCCACTCGCAAGCAGCTCGTACGTTCCAGTGTGGCTTATCAATGTATGGACAACATGTCATGTAGGTGCTATTGACTGGTCACCACGAAATGCTTCTGGACGCCAAGCTCGTTCGGCTCAATCCCAATACCCTACTGTGTACCACGGGCGACGTTGGCGGCAACTTTCAGGTTTGGGACATTTCCCGCTGCATCGTCGACGCGTCCAAAGATGCTGGTATGCACAAACCTGCGACTGACCCGTGATTGATATAATAACATCGTGTGTGCAGCGGTCGTGCTCCACAAGTTGAACGTCGGCATTCCTGGCTGTGTCACCCCCGTCTTTCACACCTTTACGGTGCTCCCCCAAGACCACAAACAGCCACACAGCGAGCTCTGCGAGATCTGGACCGGTACGTGTCCGTTTTCATCCTGTAGGAGTTGACAAGCGGAGTAGGTACGGTCGATGTGGTGCGCCTCGTGCCCGAAGCCGTCTCGTCCATGCAAGCGCCCATGCAGCATGTGCTCTACAACGCACTCGCACACACGTTCACGGCCTCCGTCGGTGGCAAAATCACCGTCTGGCGCGGCAAAGACGGCCACATTGAGCAAGAACCGATCCACATCGCATCTGTTGAAGTGTGCGGGCTCTGCTACGACCTTCCGCGCCAGCGCAAGCTGTTTGTATCGACAAGCGTAAGTGCTTTGTCTCTTGGCCAAACCTTTCCCTCCATACGTCCAGGACGGCTATATCTGCATGTACAACCTCATTACGGGCGAGCTCATGGACGTACGATAAAACTGCGCATCGAACTGCTTGTATGGAAAACGCCTGTGACGTAGTCGGCCAAGTTGCACAACAGCGACGTCCTCGCCATGATCTATTGCGAACACACCAACGTCCTCGGAGGCTCGTCGTCCTGGCTTCACACACTACTGTAGTGCCTCATCACGACCGGTGGCGACGACACACTCGCGATTTGCGCCGACGTCAAAGGCGAAGGAAAGTTGGATCCGCTCCGAACCATTGAAAACGTCCACCGGTACGATGCTCTTGGCAGAGAGGTCGGTCTCTCAATTCACGTCAGCGCTGGCATGACCGCCTGCGCGTACTCGAGTGAGCACGGACTCATTGTGACGGGTGACGTCAAGGGCCATATCCGAGTGCACGACTTTCAGCGTCTCTCCCTTATGTTTCGGTGTGAAGGCCATGGCGGCGAGATCACGGCGCTCGCCTTCCACCCGGCGACGTGCGTGCTTTTTGCCGCCGAAGCCAGCGGCGACATTTGCGTCTGGCAGCTGCTCAACGTATTGACCTTGTCGCAGTGCGTCATGCGCCTCGTCGTGCCTGTTTCGACGACCTTCCTCACGAGCCCCGACCTTGACCCATCGAGTGCGACGCCAATCATCACGACTCTGTGCGCAACGTCCGACAAGATCGTCGCCGGCGATGACCACGGCCGCCTGCATGTCTGGCCGATTCAGCTGATGCGGAAACAAGCTAAGGGCATCACCAAACTCTTCTTCGAGCCGCTGCCAGCAAACATGATTGCGTACGCGCGCGGCGGGTACAACCCCAATTTGCGAATGACACGCATGCAGAGCGTCGCCACGTCCGACGTCAGCAGTGGTCACCACCACACGGCGCACCACAGGCCGATCATGGGCCGCCCTGCCGTTGTTCAGATCAAGGCGCCGACCACCTGGATCGCTCATACGAGCAAAGTCTACCACGTCGCACCGCTCCCAAGCCCAGGGTACGTCGTTTAAATTCCGCGCAAACACACTGACATGAAGGACAGATTTGTGTTTTCATCGAACGACACGGGCGTTCGCCTGTGGAGCGCCGACGGCGACTGCCTTGGAGCTCTCGACCGCAAGCACAGCAGTGGTAACGAGTCTGGAAGCACCGAGGCGAGCGTACCGTGGAAATACCGCCTGAGCCCATCCTCGTCAGCTCTGGAGCTCTCGGCCGCCGTACAGACCATGGCCAGGAACGTCCTTCGCCAAGTTGCGTCGTTGAGGTGGAAGATGCGTATGTGAGGCCCATCTCACGCTGCAACATGCTTGTAGCGCCACTGCAGTGACGTCAACGAGTCATACCCCACCGGCCCATCGCACGAGCATTCTTCTAGACGGCTCGCACCTGCGCACGCAGAGCTACCGTCGGTGCTCGAGTCTTCTCGACCTGCGGACCAAGTCCCACAAGGTCTCCATTGTCGAGCAAGAAGACGATCCGGCATTGACCCACACCATTCAGCACGCAACAGCCGAGACGGCCTTCTCTCGTACGCCACATTCTCTACTCGATTGTTTTAGCAAAACGACTAGGTCGGTCCCTCGCGGAGGGCATCAAGACCAACACGTTCACGCAGGACGAAGGGTTTATCCTCGAGTGCCTCAGCCACGACGCACATGCGCGCAAGACGTACGACTCGATCGTGTTTCCGCCGCTCTTGCTCACGAAGGCAGAGCTACGTCGGCAGCTTGAGCTGAACGCAGTGCCAAAGGCTGACACGGACGCCGTCGACGAGCTTCCGATGCTGCGCACGTGCGACAACTTTCTTGGCGAAGTCCGCGTGCACAAGGCCAAGATGACGCGCTTCTCGCACGAAATGCCATTGGACCCGTCGCCATTTCTGCAGACGCACTTGCCAGGAAAGAAGGCCCTCGCCACGACGTCCATGTCCGTTCCAAAGAGCAAGCAGGCAACGACACTACGACAACGAATGCAGTGGAAGATCGACGGGTTCGTCGACCAACCGGTGCTGCCCAGCGTTGTCAAGGCACCGGTGTCGCCAGCCCGGCGCCACGCACGGCAGTGGACCGACCCCACCTTTGCCGCCCTCGATGCGCGCCTCGAGTCGAGCTTGGGCCCGCGTCGGTCGCAGTCGACGACCGACCTCTCCTTCGTTCAAGCAAACATTTCGAGAAAACTCACGCTCTGCGAAACACTGCAAGGACTGGACGTGACGCGAACCAAAGTCGTGACACCGGCGATGACTCCGATGAGCCGACGCGTCGCGACACCAGCGTCGGTGCGAACACCGGTTATGGAGATTGTCAAAGCCGGTGGGAATCCCTTTGGGCCGCACTACTCAACCAAAGACGTGCTTGAGTTCGGTGGTACGACCGTCCTACCCCGAAACAGTATCGAATTCGACGAGGACATTGACCATGTTGGCGTAGACACGCTGCAACGCTTTGATAAAGACCTCTCGGGGGACATTGACATTGACGAGTGGCTGAAAATTATGACGGCGCTGGGGGCCAAGAGCCAAGCGATCGATGTGGCCGTTGCGCGCGACCTCTTCTCGACAGTCGACGACAACGACGACGGGCTCATTTCTCACCAAGAACTCCTCCACATTGTGGTATACTGCCGATTTCTGGCTTCTAAGAAATCAACCCGTTTCCATAGTTTCTACAAGCGACGAAGGAGCAGCTGATGCAAATGGAAGAGCTCATTCGAGCGTCGCAGCACCGCGCTCAGAAGACGGCATCACGGCCATCAACCGCCCAAGACCAAGACGAGTGAGTCTCCGAAGCGTCGCGTCCTTCTCATTCATGTCCTGCTTGACGTATTCGGTGAATGTGTTCCACACGAAGCGTCGATGACACGTCCTAGTAGCCTAGTCTTGAGTGTTTGCGTCTTCCTTTGCACATATTCGCTTGCGACCGGCTCGTTGATAACGCAATGAAGCCCCGACCTTTGTCTCTTGAATGCCAGCAAAGTGTGTTTGAAGCAGTTATGAACCAACCAGAGCTTACTCGCACAGCATCGTGTTCCCAAGGTCATATCACCGGTGCGTCGCATCGGTCGTTTTTGACACTGATTGGCGTCTTCTGGTTAATAATACCTTAATTCGATGGACATTATTGTACACAGTTTCAATCACCCAACTTGCTCGCATCAAGAGAACGACATGTTGTATCACGGTGTGTTTGTATGAATGGCATTATGTACACGCAGAGACAAATCAAAGGCACGGAAGCGAGAAACCAAAGCTCGTTAGCTGGAGCGCGCGGGCAACTCGATGTAGACTTCGCTAAGGCGCTGGCCGAGCAGTGTGAGCTCACACGCCGCCTCGAAGAGTCGCATGTCGTTGAGCTCGCCGTCGCAAATGTGGAAGAGAATGTCGAGCGATGCCTGCATCTTGTGCCAATCCCGGCTCGCAAAGGTCTTGCCCCACAGCGCGTGCGTGGGGACAAGCTCGGGCATGGGTGGGTTCCCGCTTTCCCAGTCGCAATACTCGGCGCAGTGCACCCACGCTTCGCGGAAGAGCGTTCCGAGCGCGATAAAGTCGACGTTCAAAAACGCCTTCCACTCTTCGTTGGCGACGGCAGCGAGATCGTCCATGTCGGGCAGCCGACCGCCCTTGCGCATCTTGGGCGACTCCATGTCGGTCAAGAGCCGAAAGGTGCGGCTGAGGTGGAACGGGTACGTGTAGTCGCCCTCGCGGCTGTGCTTGACGCCGCGCCCGTGCTCCTTGGCAAACTTACTTCGGCGGTCCCAGGCCTCGAGGCGCTTGGCGTTGGCCTCGCGCGCGTCCGGATCGCGCGCGTTCATAAAGTACGTTGCGTGCTGGAGATTGTAGCCCACCGATAGCATGCGCGAGACGAGAAAGCTCTCGGTCGGGCGCCCACCGTACCAGATGCTCGGACCTTTCTCCAGGAGCGTGGCCAGCGTGTCCAGCACCGGGATCGGAGCAATACGCTCGTGCAGGCGCAGTGCGTTGTAGAGGTGGAACACGAACCGGCCTTGCTGCACATCGTCCATGACGCCGACTCCGTACGAGAGGCTGAAGCTCAAGCTCATCGTGAGCATCCACTGGCCGGCCATCCACGGGTTGAGCCAGCCTTGGTCGAGCTCCAGTGGCGTAAAGTACGGGCACTTGTTGACGATCTGCATGATGCCTAGCATCCCCTGGACGTGTTCCGGGAGGAGCTTGAGCGTCCGCGGCGGCTGGATGAGGCCCGTGGCGTTGTTCTGGCACGCGAGCACGTGCTCCGTCACGCGCTTGAGGCTCGCTTTGGTCGAGGCCGCGATCTTGGCGCACGTGACGTTGTCCCATTCGGGGCCTTGCGTGTCCATGATCGACTCGAGGAGGCAAACCGTCGCGAAGACGAATGGGATGCTCGTGCGCTTCGTCTTTTGAAACTCAAAGACGAGGTTGGGCCAAGGCATGTAGTCCTTGTGGGCGCTCACAATCTCGGGACACTTGTCTTTTGTCGCAAAGAGCACCGGCGGCAGCATCTCCGAGAAGAGCGGGCCCACGAGCTCCTTCATGGACCAAAGCATGCCCGCCGCCTCGCTCCAAGGCGCAGTGCGCATGTTGCTTGGCATGGTAAACCGCGGGCCTTTGACTATATCAAGGAGGCCCGCGAGCCGGGGTAGCGCGCGCTGCAGCATCTTGAGGTTCTTGACGTAAAAAAGTCGCTCGTCGGTTGTCGCGAGCGAGGCTTCGTGCGCGTCCACGATGGCCTGCTCGAGCGCGGCCGCCGATCCGTGCGGCACGCGAAGCGTCTTTGCTATCGTGGCCGTGCTCGTGGCTGGCGTTGGCGACTTGCACGCTAGCGTGACAAGGCGCACGGCGGTCGCGAGGGAAGTGTTGTGCGACACCATCATCTCACGCAAGAACGGACCTCGCTCGACGAGTGCGAAAATCTCTGCCAGCGTCTCGAGGTACGGCAGCTCGAGGTGCAGTGTCGCCGACCACGTACTCACGAGCTTGACGCAGGCGTTTGTGACGGCGGTGGCCGCCACCAAGCTCGACTCACCCGCCTTCAGACTGGACCACGCATGGTCCACGTCACCGAGAAGCTCGTCAAGGTCCATGAGAAAGCAGATGGCGCGGAACTGGTCCGCCTCGATCGCAGCGACCGCAGTGTCCTCGGGACTCGGCTCGCGGATAGCAAAGGCCTTGGCGTCAAACGGCGGGAGCGACTCGTCTGGCGCATCGTCTTCATCGTTTTCGTCGTCAACTGCAAGCGCCTCGAACGCGTTGTGCAGTTGCCCTTCGTGCTTGGGCGACGGCGGCGCCGTCTCCTGCACCAGCGGCTCGAGCGTAGCGTCGACAGCGCGCAGGAGGTCGAGGAAGTACGCGTGGCCTTGGTCTGGCGGGAAGGCCTTACATGCCTGCCAACGCAGTTTGATGCTTGCTTTGAGCTGGCGAATGATGGCAACCGGAACGGGTGTAGCGCTCGCCGCAATGTCCTGCGTGGCGGCCCAGATCTGCGCCGTCGTCCACTCGACCTCTTCCGACTTGTTTTTCTTGTTCTTCTTCGCCTTCTTGGCGACGTTCTTCGTGCGCTGGAGCCAGGCGACGACCGCCGTGGTCGCGAGCTTGTACCGGTGCCACCGCCCACAACCGTCCGACATGCTTCCCGACAGTCCAAGACTGAATGAACCGCTCAGCTCGTTGAAGCGTTTGCCGCGGGTTAAACGTTAAACGCGCTAGTTTGGCTTGGAGGTAGAATATTTAACGTATCGGTCAAGGTGCGTTGCAGTCCTGGTTGCAGTCGCTCATTCAAAAAAGTATATATATATATCAGATAGAGTTGTGCTGTAGTCCCTACACGTCCTTGGCGGGCTCAATGTACACGAGCTCAAAATCGTCGCAGCCGGCCGCCGCCTTGTGCGTATTGAAGAGCGTTCGGAGCGCTGTAAAGTACACCTCGTGGAGCCGGTGGACGTCGTCGGTCGTCGGCGCGGCGCACTTGGTGACGGGAATCGGCGCGCCGACAGCCACCGTCATGGGCACCCGCCGCGGGATCGGGAGGTAAAAGCGTCCGTACGGAAAGAACGGGCACGGAACGGCAAACTTTTTCACGCTCCACTGCTGCAGCGCAGGGTACTGGACGTTGTCGAGGACCTCGCCTTCCTGGAAGCTAAGCACAGGCACGAGCGGTGTGCCGTGCTCGAGCGCCAGCCGGAGAAACCCGCGGTGGCCCGTGTACACGCGCACTTGGCGAATGCCCGAGTGCGACTGGAGCATCTCCGCTTGGCCGCCGGGCACGACCATGACCGACTGCTGCGACGCTAGCGACGCGGCAAAGGTCCTGCGGGAAACCTCGCGCGCCCCAAAGAGCTGGATGGCGTCGCGGAGGAGCGGAATGTAGTGCACGACGGACGCCGAGAGAGGGCACGCAAACACGTTGGGGTACAAGGCGCGCCACGACGACGAGAACTGGAGCCACATGACCGTGAGCGGCGTGATGCCGTGCGGGTGAAACCCAAAGACGTACGTGGCCGACGGGTCTAATGGCCCCGAGGCGAGCACGGTCGCTGAAAAGTAGCGCGCGACGGCCTCCATGACGGGGTTGCCCGTTGCGATAAACGATCGGCGAAAGCGACATCCAGTTTGCGCCGGCATGCCCACCATGGTACCAATGTAGTAGAGGTACCACGCGACACCCATGACGATCGTCGACGTGAGTGCGGGGAGTGCGTGCACGTAGTGATACATGACGGACGCGAGCGGGAGACTGTAAAAAAAGAGTGGGCACAGCCACACCTTGGGATGGTACTTGGCCGAGGCGTCCTTTCTTGTCACGTGGTCGTAGTACGCCGTCATGGACGGCATCGCGATCGCCATGATCGTCGTGCCCACAATGTACGCCGCGCTGTAGACCGCCGCCGTACTCCACGAGAGGTCCGAGTAGAGAAACGGAATTGTAAACGGCAAGTACCCGAAAAGCGTGAGGTTGCAGAGGAGCGTTGTGACGGCCAGGTCGAGCGAGCACGGCGTCACGGGTGCGGGGACGTCGGGGCTTTGGTACATGTGGAGGCTCACCATCATACTCAGCTGCGAGAAGAGCGCCGAGGCTGCTGCATAGCTCATGAGGCCGACGACAACCTCCAGCTCGATGACAAGAAACGAGAGGAGGAAGAGAGTCTGCAGCAGCAGTGAGATGGAAAATGTTGTCCAGGCCATGAACTGAAGGCGGACGAAGCGACCACCGCCCCGGAAGGGCTGGAAGAAGCGCCAGCCCGGCGTATCTTTGGCGATGATACCGCCGAGGCCATAGGTGCTCGTGACCGCGGCAACGCACAAGAGCAGCGAGCCTAATGACGCGTCGGAAGAGAGAGAACCGATGGACGCGTCGGCGATCATGGCCAAGATACACGCGCCGACGACCGCGAGCAAGTGGATGTAGTGGTGCACAAAGAGCGGCGCGGCGCCGTTCTGGGCCTTCTCCAGCACGAGGATCGAAGACACCATAAACATCTCGGCGATGAAGCAGAGACACGTGACCGAGAGACTGCTAAAGACGATGGGCGTTCGCAGCTCAAGGCTAGCGGCCATGGACCCCACGAGCGCGAGAGCATAGATGACCCAGCTGGCCACATGGTAGCCGCGGAAGGCGCCGTCAACGAGCTGATCGTCCTTGATGCGCGCGTGCACGGAAAGCTGGAGAATGTGTGTCACGGGCACGGCGAAGAACAGCACAAAGGTCGCGGCGTCGAGCAGCCACGGGTGCACGAGTGTCATGACAGCGTAGTGGTAGACCTCGAGCGCGATGCGGAGGAGGAAAGCCGTAAAGTCGGCAACGACCAAGGTGAGCGCGGCGCGGCGCCAGCCCATGAGCGACGAGGGCTCTTGCAACTCGGACTTCATGTTCGGAAATGACCGACCTCGCGGACGGTTGCGGCGGGATTGCCACTCACCAGATCTTCGTATTTTTAATTCGCTGCCTTTGATTGGCTCGCTACCCGAACGTCCTTTTTACCAGTGCGTCTTAGGACACCTTGCGTAATCGACGTCCAGCAGCTTGGTGACTGTTGTGCTACGCGACAAGGCAGACCGTAGCGCCGGCGACTTGGCGTTAAAGCCTTCGTGAAGGATCAATGATGGAACACCAAATACGCACGTCGAAAGGCGTGAACGAGATCGCCGATATAGATAGCTTTAGTACGTTTTTGGTTCATTTTTGCAATCACAGGTGGTACACCCAAGTACGTAGCGTGCAGCAAACCGCCTCTCGATCAGCGACTGTCCGTGCATGAGACTTTGCTACTTCCGTGCCGACGACAAAGCTGCTTGCAAAACGAATCCGAATGGCGTCCACAAACACACTAGCATACGGTGCGTGACACTCTCGCTCTGCGAGAAGCGGTCACGAACGCAATCGTAATCGGTTGACCGCAAGTGTCGTCTGCGCAATCGGCGACAGGTCGTTTAACCCGTTGAAGTGGCGTTTACCCTCTTGATGGGCATTTAACCCCGCTAGCCTGTTTATCCGGATATGGATCCGCCGACAGCCGGATACGCAGCTAGGGGCAGCCAAAGCTTGGAATCATCGGACATGGCCTCGCCGGTGTTGGACGAGCCGGCCGCGGGCGCCACCAGCATGGCCAAGCAGCGCACGATCCGCCTCATGGTCTTGGGCGACGAGAAGGTCGGCAAGTCGTCGCTCATCTCGGCGCTCGTCTCGCAGCACTCGAGCGAGCACGTGCCCCGCGTGCTCCACGACATTGTTATCCCAACCGAAGATACACGCGAGAACGTCGTCATCTCGCTCCACGACACGAGCTCCAACTCGAACGACGTCATGGAAGTCATCAAGACCATCAACCGCAGCGACGCTGCTATCGTGGTCTACGACGTCAGCCGACCCATCTCGTCCCAGCGGCTAAGGTGCGTTTCCATCCATGGTCATCTCTGAGCACCGTTGGCATGTGATAGCTATTGGCTCGACTTGCTCAAGGTGACCAAGGTCATGCCCGTGGTTCTCGTTGGCAACAAGTGCGACCTCCTGCCTGGCGGCTCGGAGATGTCCCGTGTCCAGTCGGTCTTGCGCAACTACAAGTTTATCGTGCACAGCTTGGAGTGCTCGGCCAAGTCGCTCGTGAACGTCAAGAAGACGTTTGGTCTTGCGCAGAAGGCTGTCTTGTATCCGATGGGTCCGCTCTACGATGCGGAGAAGAAGGTACGCAGTCGCCGCCGTCGCTCGTCTTGACTCTTGACAGCAACTGCAACCGACGTTTGTCCAAGTCCTCAAGCGCATCTTTCGACTCTTTGACGAAGACCGCGATGGCATGATCAACCGCGAGGAGCTCAACCGCTACCAGGTACGCGTCGATTCATTTGAGCAACACGCATCCCGCCCGTAGGCGACGTTCTTCCGAGCGCGCATGAAGCAAGAAGAAATCGACATCCTACTCGACCTGGTCCAGCTCGTCAAGCCCGACGGCGTAGCGATGGACAAGATGGGCATCTACCTCGCAGGTTTCGTGTACCTCTCGGAGCTCGCGATCGAGAAGAACAAGCCCGAGCACTGCTGGCAGGTACGTCGTCCGCAGAGAAGACAGAGTAGATGCTCAGACCGTGTAGGTGCTGCGGTCGCTCGGCTACTCGGACGACCTCGCGCTCGACATTCCGTCCGACTATGTCGAGATCCCGCGCGAGGGCCACGAGTACCCAATGGTGGATCTGAGCCCCACGGCGTGCCTCTTTCTTAAGAACGTCTTTGAGCAATTCGCCGCCAAGGACCACACGCTGCACTGGGCGTCCCTCCAGACCATTTTCGAGATTGTGCCCGCCGAGAAGCAGCCGCAGTGGTTCCTCAAGTCGACGCCCGCCACAACAACGCTCGAGCTATCGACCTGGATGGCGCTCTGGAGGTACTGGCCATCGAACGGCACACTGTTTCACCACCCTGTTAGTCTCGAGATGGCGATTTTCCCGAAAGAAACGCTGATTCAGCTCTTCTACCTTGGATTTAGCCACAAAGCTCCCGTGGCCGTCGAAGTGTACGATACCGCAGCGCCGATCAACGCGACTCAAACTCGCTTGTAGACGATCCGTGGCCCGCCGACTGAGCGCCAAGAAGACAATTCGCTGCCTTCTCTTTGGCGCCCCGCGCGCTGGCAAGGTTTGCGCTGCATTGGCTGGGAGTAACTAACAGCGGTATCCTAGACCACGATTGTCAACAAGCTCGTGCAGCTGCCGTTTGAGAGCCCCGGGTATCTCATGGAGACGGATGGCGACGGCGACGAGAGCGATGACACGAACGGGGCGCGTGTCCGACCCATGGACGTCTATCCGTTCCTGCTCCACAACGTGCACGTGGTCAACGACAAGGAGACGACTGGCGAAAAGTACCTCATCGTACGGCCGCCGTGTTTGTACGCTTGGTATAATACTCGGGTAGATGTCGGAGGTGTCGGAAGCCAATGTCTCGCCGCGCATGGTGTCGCAAATCGCGCGCGAGATCCACGTCGATATTGTGTGCTACGTCTTTGACGGCAACGACGCCGACTCGATCGACTACCTCCTCTCGGTCGAGAAGCACATACCAGACTCGATCCCCGTCATGTTTGTCTGCACCAAGTCCGACCTCATGGAGGCCACGCTCACGTCCTCGATCGCATGGGACAAGGCGCTCGCCCACTGCGCGTCGCTCGAGCTCTTTGCGCCACTGAGCGTCTCGGACAAGACCTTGCAGGGCCTCCAGGGCGACCACTCGCTCTACTCGCTCCTTGTCCACCGTGCGCTGCACCCGTACGCGACTTCCATCGGCATCTGCGTCGCATAACAGAACATTGCCCCTAGGCAAGGAGCGCTGCCCTTCTCCGCCCACAAACGCCAGGCCAAGCGGCGGAAGCGCTGGATCATTGGCGGTTGCGCTGTGACAGTCTCGCTCCTCGCGGTCGCGGGCGCCGTCTACTACAAGGAGAAGCTCGAGGCGTACGTGCCATACCTCCCGCTCTGGCTTCAGAAGCCGCTCACACTTCTCCCATCCACGGCCAAGTAGCGCTCTTTTGTCATTTGCAATGCATTGTTTTGGCGCCGCGCAGTCATGTTGTCGCATTAGAGGACCACGGACGAAACGACCAGAAGGGTCGCCACGCCGATGACGGCTGAGGTCCAGACGACAGTGTCGAGATCCAAGTGCATCGCAGGCGACGACTCCAAGTGCTTGCTACTGCCGTCAGCAGCGTCAGGCGATGTTAGGTCGTAGTAGCTGGCAACGTTGGCGGGGCGTTCTGTGGTGGGTGGTGCTAGCGGATACGTCGCGTCGTCGAGCTCGACGTGAAGGACCGAGCCGAGAAAGTCCGTGACCGGCACCTCGTGCAACGGACGGTGGAGGAGCTCAGTTCGTGCTTCGGGGTCCGAGTAGAGCATGCGCGGGTCGTACGAGCCAAAGAGATCGGCGAGGGTTTTGCTGGTGTCGTGGGCCTGCAGAAAGTCGAGTGTCGCATACGTGAAGCGGTCAATGAGCGAGAGGCCAATCTATTGAAACAACGTCAGTGGCGTCATCGGCAATTTCGAGCAGTACGTCAAAGTCCGTGTGGTACGCGTACGAGTTTTGGCCCGTGGAGGCGCTACCAATGGTGACGACGTTGGGCGAGTAGAGCTGCTTGGCGAGCGACCCGGCTTGGCACGTGTCCACCATGAAGAAGAGTTCGTTGTATCTACAAACGCTGGTCAATGCTGCTCATTCGAGCGGCAGATCAATGTACCGGCCTTTGACGTGCATTTCTTCGATCGAGTCGGCAATGTCATGGCTCGAGAGCTCCTCGACGTCCTGAAACTTGAGAAAGCCGTCACCGCCGTGGCCCGTCATGAAGACAAATACGTTGCTCTTCTCGTCCGAGTCCAAGCGACGGTTGGCTGGAGTCCCCGGCTCGTGTCGGCCCGTAAGCACTTTGATAAAGTTGGCCACGTTCACTTCGTCGCCGCGGTAGTCGACCTCAACGTCTTCGCCGTACCTACGTCAGTGAAGCGTCACACAGTCGTTGCGGTATTGCTAGATAGTACAGATTGATCGCATGGTTGTTGCTGTTGAAAACATGGCCAGGGTAGCAGTTGCGGGCGTTGCATGGCATTTGGTCGGCGAGCATAAGCACAATCTAAGGCAGACGAGCTGAGCATAGTGGCACGCGGTTGCTGCGAACCTGGCTGTCGGGAATGCCCAGACGCTTCACCGAGTGGTACAGCGACAGCGCGTTCGTGATGTGCCGGTAGTTGAACCAGAAGCGCGACGCGTCGACCTAAGCCCTCACTCGATGGTGTCAGTGTGCTCGATGGTTACGTACAATGACGGCCCAATTGTTGGTGTGGCGCTCGTAGCCCATGGCGCACACCAGTAGCAGCAGTAGGAAGCTGCTCGTTGCCCAAGAAAAGCCGGCCATCGTGATCGTCTCGTCGGTCCGAGCTGTCGGTCCGTCAAGCAGCCCCGACACGTGGGTTGCTAATAATGTCACCATATAGTGTAAGAACGTATTCTGTTATAGTATTAATTCATTCGTGATATAGTGTAAGTCATTTGCTTGGCACACTATTACGGTCTGCGAGACTGGGCAAGCGCATTCACATTGCACGAAAACACATCGATGCGCGCGACTAGACCCGATTGACTAGAAGTATATATGTAAATGAACAGAGGTGTTGCCTCGTCGTGCGCTTCGTAACCCAAGTAGCCACTGCAGCTGCTGTGTGCTACCACGTTGAATAGTGTATGATGTATTTTCGGATAGATGAATTGTATCCGGAAAGAAAAGATTTCGGCACCAGCTTGAATAATTGAACGCTGGGACAGCAACCAAGAGAGCGAGACGAGGGCGGCCTTTCTATAGAGACGACGTGTGATTTGCGAATATTCATTCCTGCCCTGGTCTCTGATAGAGTCTTTTCTCTGCTTTTTCGCGATTTGACGCGACTTTTTCCGCGCGAAAATGCTGTCGACCGGCTTTGGAGCTCAGATGTGAGGCTCCGACCCCATATCACCCGAGAAGGCTGCTACGAAGCAGCACCTCGGTACGAGTGTTATTAGTACCATGTCAGCCAGCGATATAGAAGCAATGTGGCCGCTTTCGTGGCCGCTGGTTCGAATCCACGTGGTGTGATTGGAATGCCACTTGCACGTCCGAGCGAGCCAATCCGTGACGCGTATTTTGCAGCAGAATCGTTCGATTGGTGGAACCGACGGTTCTGCAGACGCACGTGGCAGGCCAAGCCAAGTCCATGCGAATGTCACCAGCTGGGCAAGCAGCGACCGACCATCGACCGGTCAGTTGGCCTTTTCACTCCTGAGAGCACATGATCAGCCTGAGCATCCCGTCGCCCAAGGCCCTCTTTACACGCTGGCGCCGCCGAAGCAACTGCGAAGACACCAAGAAGTTGAGTCCTGTCGCACTGGCGGGCGCGAGCCGTCGATACACGAGCACGATCAACAACTGCTGCAACTCGCACGCACCGAGCGTCGACCCGACGAGCCAAAGCACGACATTCCAAGGCGATAGCAAGACGTGCGCCACGTGCAAGCGCCAGTACCTGCGGTATGCCAGCAAGTATGATGAATACTGCTCGGTGGACTGCAAGTCAGTCGGGTACTCTAAGTACACGCTGAGCTACTAGGACTATTAGAGACGACCAGATAGGATGTTGCGTCTCGTAATTTATTTAGATTTACTTGCATTATCACGATCTACACTAAATTAGAGTACGCGTCGACAACGTCAAGGCAAGCATCGAGCGTCTCATGGAAGTAGTCCTCTTCGACTCCGTACTTTTTGTACCAGTGGAGATACGCCTTGGCGTGCAGCTGCTGGGCGGCGCGGCTGACGAACGTCGAGAGCATCGGGATCGCGTTCGTTTGACCGTTGGCACTCACCGTGACTGCACCGGACATTGTCATCGGTGGAGCCAACGACACAGTGGTCGCGATGCGCTGCGGTGCCCAGTCAGGCGCTGGAAACGCCCTCTCGATAGCCTTGACCACGGACGTCAAGGACGCAGCTGTAGCGCCACCGCGAACGTGGATATGCCGACCAATACACGGAGATTGGGTCGCAGCATACGGATAGGATGCCACGAGCTGCTTCGTCGCCGCTGCAAGCCCCGCATCGTCATCTGTAGAAGGAAGTAGCGCTACGAGGCGTGAGTCAGAAGGCTTGGAGCGGGGGCGTTGGGCGTAATACGCGGTCCGGACGTCGACAAATTTGGCCGACGCCATCGGGCACGTCTGCGTCACAAACGAGCCGAGATCAAAGGGTCGCTTGTCAGAGGGGAGGAAAAGCCCAGCCCAGTCACCAGCTACGAGCCGGTTCATTTCAGTGAGCGAAACACCGCCGGTAGCGCCACGCCAATGGGCCACGAGGCGCGCGACGTCGTCGTTGTCCTTGTACAAGATTGCGTCCGAGTACGTCTGGAGGTGGCGCAGCGTGAAGAGCGCGTTGTAGTTTTGCAGCGGCGAGTCGCCAACAAGCGACGGCGCAATGCAGCCGTTGAGAATATACGCCTTGGGATATGTGTCTCGAATAGCCTCCAGAAGTCGGCTTCCGAGGCCAGCGCCCGTCCCACCTGCTAGGCTGTGCAAGAGGATCGCCCCTCGATAGCAGTCAACGACCTCGATTTCCTTGCGGAGCGACTCGAGCACACGCGCCGTGAGCGCGATGTTTGTTGTTTGGTGGTAGCCCATCGCCCAGTTGTTGCCGCGACCGCTCTGCTCGACGTGGACACCGGCGACGCTAACGCGGTCGGCGATCGCGCCAACGACCTTGGGCTCCGAATCGACGAGAATGCAAGGTCGGTGGGTCTGGCCGTCCGCAGCCGCGCCATGCTGCGAGAGCGCAAGGAGCTCGGCGCCGACTTGGTTGCCGCACTGCCCAATACAGAGCGAAATGCTCATGGGATCGTCCGCCGTCTGCTTTTACTGGGGAGTTCCAAGGTCGCTTAGAAGCGCCATGATACGGTGTCGGGTAATTACTCCCTTGGACGGTCAACGATGAAATTCTTGTCCATTGCGCGCGCCGTCGAGGCCGAGGTGCCAAAGATCAAGGGATCGCGCTTTATCGGTTTCGCAAGTCCCGTGACGTCGCGCCAAGAGGCTTTGGCAGTTGTCGCCGCGCGCCGAGCGATCTTCCCGCAGGCTAATCACCACTGCTTCGCCTACACGCTCGCGTCGCCGCCCGAATCGTTCGCGTCCGACGACGGCGAGCCCCACAACAGTGCTGGCCGGCCGATCCTGCACGTCTTGCAGCAGCACGACGTGCTCAACGTCTGCCTCGTCGTTTCGCGCATTTTTGGTGGCACAAAGCTGGGCACAGGCGGTCTCGTTCGGGCCTACAACAGCGCGGCCAAGTGCGCGATGGAGACCGCGAGCATCCAAGAGACGTGCGTTCAGCATATTCTCACCGTACTCGTGCCCATTCATGCCGTCGCCGCCGTCAAGAAGGCTCTGCACCGCTTCGATGGGCACGTCGAATCTCTTGCCATTGAGGGCGACTCGGCCGTGCTAGTCTCGCGCCTGCCACTGACACACGCCATCGCTTTCGAGTCAATGGTATCCGAGTCGACAAATGGACGTGCCATCATCTCACGAGCGCACGAAGAAGATGCAAGGTAAATGACACGTGTACCTTTGAGGGGACTTTCGTTAGGACCGTCATATTCTCGAAGGAAACACAGTGAGCTGTACTGACGTGTAAGATGATGGAATGCAGTTGGGAGCGAGCATTGCATGTACACATACGTCCTTCAAGCAGCAATGACTATGGCGGCCGACGTCGCAGCAAGCTAACCTCCATCGCGCTCTTGACCCCATCAATAAACGAAATTTCGTCCGTTTAAGCATAAAAAGTTGGGCGTTGAAGGGTTAAGATGTTGCAGTAGGACTGTGTTCATAAGATTACGCTCTAGTCCTTCTTGGCACGGGGCTTGCCGCCGCAGTACGTCTTGGCAAAGAAGAAGACGAAGAGCCAAAAGAGGGACTGAACGTACAACATGTATGTGACTTGGACGCGGAACGGGATCTTGGGGCACGCGTTCGCGATCACGAGGTAGCCTTGGACGTTCATGATGGCAAACTGGACGAGCTGCAGTACGGTGAGGTACTGCTTCCACCAGATGCTGCTCGTGTGCGAGCTCACGAAGTAGTACGTGTACATGATGGTGTGGATACCGCCGTTGAGGAGGATCGTGAGGTAGATTTCACCGTCGTAGCAGACGCGGAAGAGGAACCAGTAGACGAGGAAGACGCTGAGGTGGTGGTACACGTGCAGGAACGAAAGTTGCTTCCACTTTTTGCCCACAATGATGATCAACGTGTCCACAAAGTCGAGAATCTTGGACATGTAGAAGAGCCAGAGGAGCCGACCCATGGCCGGGTTTGTCGCGTCATACGGGTTGCAGGGATAGAACGAGTAGTGCTATTGCATCACTAGCATGAGTTTCCGACTCGTTGCGATAAAGATGGCTTACGTGGCGGTAGGCTTGGACACCGGCTTCAATGCACATGTACGAGCACAACATGATCTGGATCGGGTTGTACACGAACTGCAGCATTCGCGTGTTCACGGCGGGGAAGCCGAGCATCATGATGGTCGAACCCAAGACGATCGCGGCCACATAGAGGAGCGCGATGGCGAGGGCGCTGGCAAAATCGCCCAGCGGCCAGGACGCAATCGCCGACGCCTTGTAAAGACCATCAGGGTCCATGAAGTTGAGAAACGCATCGCCGATCGGCGTTGCCCAAGCTTCGAACGCGTGCCAGTACGTCTCCATTGTCCGAGAAGGCAAAAAGCAAAGTGGTGGGGATTGTCCACGGACGCCAACCTGGTCGGACCAATGGCCTTGCAGCCATGCTGTTTGCAACAATCGGATTGGCTAAAATGGGAATTGCGATCTTCCCGCGACCAGCAAAAATCCGCTGAAGTCCGGTGAAGCACCGTTGACGCGACAGTCCCTTGGCAACCAAGGGTACCAGTCGAGTAGAGCGATTTATGGCGGCAGAGTCACCGAGAGAGAATGCTTTTCTTGTTAATGACGACGATGGATGCGAGGAGCGGAACCTTAGGGGACGCGGAAACACCGACGCTTCGATGCGAGCTGCATGCCAAGTTCAACAAAACGGCCAAACCTATCCTGGTGCTCATCTGACGTATGCAGCGACGATCTTCAGCAGCTTGATGACGGGACTTGCGTTTTCAACTGGGACGGCAAACGAAGCATAGCCAAGGATCCGACTTGACTCGAAGCGCAAGCAAGATGGTACGTGATCGATGTGCTCGTACCCGCACGCCAACCATCCTGCACGCTGAGGGAGGAAGAAGTGAGCGTCGACAAGGGAAAACGTAATCATCATATTGGGTAGCGTGTGGGTAGCAGTATTTGTTGTGTACTCGCACAACTGCGTCTACACCGCCTTGTCCTGGATCTGCTTTCGCCGGCCGCGGCGATGGCCGTTTCTATCGTTTTCCTTTTCCCGCTTCCCGAGGTAGTATTCGCTTGTGTGATGTATTTTGTAGCCAAAGATTCGGGGCACGTACGCCTGCGACGGCGGCGACGGCACGATCGACGGGTGCGTGAGGAGGAAGAGGTGCGGGAAGGTAGTACCAAAGTACGAGCCGTCTTGGTCTACTCAAGAAAGCGCGTTAGTCTCCATGGTTCGAGTTGTTGTGCATCGTACTGCCTTGACGCTGCGATTTGGGGAAGAAGATGTCCCGGCAGCGGGGGCAAAAGATGTTGACGGTCGTGTGGCGAGGCACATCCGACTGTCCAACGGGCAGTACAGGCTGGCCTTGGCAGTGCACGCGGTGGCATCGGCCAAAGTCGACGTTCTGGTACTTCTCGAGCATGGCGGCCATGCCCCGCGTCGTCACAATGTAGCGCGCATGGATGAGGCCGTAGAGCATCTCAGCCGCAGACTCGACCATCTCCTGCTGGATATCCGTCAAGCTGTCTTCGTGCGGCGTCTCGACGTCGAGGATCATGTCCATCGCGTAGTCGTAGTATGGCACGATGCTGCTGAGGCCGGTCATGTTGAAGTCGTCGATAATGTAATCTTCGTCGACCTCGCAAAAGAACTCGTTGCCGCGCAGCGAGCAGAACCACGAGATCCAGCTAAGCTCCTCTTCTTCTTCTTCTTCGTCGTCTTCATCGTCGTCATCGTCGTCGCTCTCGCTCTCGACGTCGCTCGACTCGAGGTCCGAGATCACGGGCTCGTCCGGCGCACCAAGGACGTCTTCCTGGAGATCGTCGTCTTCGTCAGCGATGTGCTCGTCGGACCGCCCATGTTCCAGGCTCATGGAGGCCATGCTGTGCATGAGGGGATCGTGGGGGCTGGCCATGCTTGCGTCCTCCCGCGGTCTCCTCGTTTTCAAGTCAATTTGGTTGGCCCAATCTCAGGCCGTAATTTTTCCACGTTGCTATACAAATAGCAAGGTATTTATTTTAGCAGGTTCTGCACAAAAACCTCCATCACTCTATGCAATGTAAAAAGAGAGGTTCGATCCAACGCCCTCTCACGATAGCGACACCGTGGTTCAAGATCTTAGCGCCGAGAGAACGTTACAATTCCGTAGCTGCATATTGGGATGCTGACATGACAGAAGCTTTGCAGCTCATTTGCTAGCTACAATACACCGTACTCAAGCTAGCAGTCATGTTTTGGAATGTCTTCATTGATCGCACAAACACTGAAGGACGTGACGCAGTACGACAAGCACGTCCTGCCATGATTAAAGCAAATAAACGGTACAAGATCATTGGCATTAGCAAAGTCTATCAAGATAGAAATGCTACATCGGACACACACGACGAAAGCAGGGGGCGTGTCGAGGCTTAGGCGTAGCGCGTGTCGTCAGCGAGGCGGGCGTAGCCATCTTCCATGGAGACGTAGCCGTCCGCCTTCTTGGCAAGAAGCACCGAGGCGACGACAGCGACGGCGGCGATGCACGCGACGACCAAGAGCCCGTTGTTGGCAGCGGAACTGTACACGGCGTTGAGTTGGCTGGAGCCAATGGAAACAGCCTTGGCCGAGCACTGCGACACGGTGTCGCTGAGGTACGTGGCGACGCTGACGCTCTCACTGTCGAGGTAGACGAGCACGTCATCGCCAACGGGACACGTCGAGCACGTGCCGTCGCAGAACGTGTTCTTGTCACAGAGCGTAGCGCCCTTCTTGCAGAGAACCGTTTTGTCTGCAAAAAAGTCCTTGCAGTTGCCCTTGCCGTCGCAGTAATCTTGTGCGTCGCA